GGCGTGACACAGCTAAAATCTTGAAAGTTCCCGTCACTGGCTTCGAGTGCTGCTTATGCAGCCCCGCCACGGTGGTCTTGTGGCTAAGGTACTCGGCTGCTGACCCGCAGGTCGCGGGTTCGTATCCCGAATGCGGCGGCTGCATTTCCGATGGAGGCGGAAATTTTGTAGGCCCGTGTGCTCAGATTTGGATGCATGTTAAAAGAACCCCAGGTGGTTGAAATTTCCAGAGGCCTCCACTACGGCGTCTCTCATAATCATAAGGTGGTTTCGGGACGTTAAACCCCACATATCAATCATTGCTGGTTATGCACCTTTATCACAAATCGCAGTCGTAGTTTTCAAATCTTTTTTTGAGCAACGCCCACATCGTGCTCACGCAAGTTTTTTTGCGCGCGCCAGTTTACCTTAATTGAAGCATTAACCAAGTCGCCGTGCTGCAAGTTTTACTGAATGACAATTAAATCAGCATAATATAACAACAACGCAATATAGCAAGTAAGCACCACGTGTACTTTGTCTACGGTTAATCAGCGCATGATTGAAGGAAGGGGGCGGGAGGGGGTGAATTCAGTGAGCTGTGAGCGAAGAGAAGCGGGCGAGTGCATTTCTGCGTCGTCGGGGTAGGGACACCGCCTGCCCGCGCTTGAAGCCTTGGGGAGGGTATTGGAGGTAGACGCCGTCGGCGACGGAGACCAGGGCGAGCTAATATCTGCTTCTGTGTGGTAGGGCCGCATACGGCTTTTGGCTCGTTTAAATGTGCGCTGGTATGGGGAGAAAGAGTAGGTGCGCTCGACTTCTGTGTCACGCCATCGCTCGCCTCGCCCTCATGCGCACTGGCCAAAGGGTGGGATGAAAGTAACAGTTGCCGTAATAGAACATTCGAACATTTTAGTCAATCAATTCACCTAATTGAAATGCAAAGAAAACATTGCGATTAATCGATTAGTCAATTACCTTTAATCGATGAATTGTTTATCGATTTCACTATTTCTACGCAAAAAAATAAGAAACGTATACGTTTCTTATTGTGGAGCGCTTGTGGAGAGTGAAGCGCAACGAAATGCCGCCTTACTTTCATCGCCTCGGGTTCACCGTACTCGACTGTATAGCCTAGCGTTAGCTATACCAAAGCAAGCTACATCTATAAGGTCTGGTAGCGATATTTCGTAAGCAGGTGTCCCGCTTCAGGCGTGCCCGCTGTCATAAACACAATGCAGCGGCGAAAACGTGCTATGGAGGTGATGGGCGGCCTTTCTTTGTTTAACAGAGAGTTCACCGACAGAGCCAATTACCCCGTACAATGAACAGGGGAAGACACCGGTCGTTTTCATAACATTGCGCCCGTCTTTGTCATTTTCGTAAGGTTCGGCCTGTAGGTGGTGATTGATTGCATTTTGATCTCAACAGCAGCACTATCGATAACAACAGCTGGAACAAAAAATTTTCAATATTATGTCGGCATTGGTAATATTTATACGAGTTTTCGCTTTTCTTTCTTTTTTTTCATCTCATCTTAAAATCTGCTAGCATGGTCGGGCGGTAAAAAGCTTCAGCTGCGCCTTTTTATTGCGTGGCCGTAGTACAGGAAAGTTACAGCCGCATATTTTTCTTGCTTTCGTCTAACGCGTTTGTAATTATTTCATTCTCTATATAGGCTCATTTTTGTCCTGTAGCGCAACTCATGTACTTACGCAAGATACACAGAATTCGTCAAGCTTAATTCTGTTAAACAATGTCAACTCTTGTTCCTGGTCGGTTGTCGTATACTACTTTCAACAGCCCCGTATAGGTGGCACGAAAATGATTTAACGTGCAGGGCTAATGAGGAACGCAAGGGATATGTTTTAGATGATGACACTTTCGGGCCAGCCTTGTAACTTAATTCGTTGTTTTCGTGTTTTTTATTACCTATGTCGTATATGTAAGCTTAGAAGTTTAATCGTATTTTCTGTACGAGCTGCAGCTGAACATATCTTATTGTCATTGAGACAGCACAAAAATTACCAGGCAGCACAGTCGCAGCAAAAACAAGAACAGCGTTCTTTCTAGAGCCATCTGTAGACTTTGAGGGCAACTAATAAAACTACGCATTCAATCTGCCTATACTGCGCCATAAACCACCGTGTCTTTCAGGAATGCAGGGAAGCACCCATGTACAACTGTTCGTTATTCTGCGGACAATCGAGGTACCCGCTACAGATATGTAAAGAATTATGCACACTTTATGATGTGGCTGATGACTGTGAAGGATAGTGATTGAGCCTTTTATAATAAGTTGGAAGCATTGAATGACCCACTCGTTGGGCGATTCACATTGTGTGACGCCTGTTTGTTATTTTGCTCTTCCACAATGCCATGTATACATATATGCGCTTTGCCCGACATGGCACCTGCAGCGTGTTTGGGCGAAGGATTTTCAACAACCAGCGTGGCACTGTGAATGCTCGATGGCCACGCAGAGGTCCCAGTTCAAATACCATCAATTCCTAGTAATTTTTCTAATTACACGTTTGTTTTTTTCGCGATAGCGTAGCGGTTATGGACATTAGCGTTGGCAGCGTGTAAATACGGCGCCTATATCGCCCTTTGTTGTGTTTTGCAATACAGATTTTACGACGATAATTAAGGGCTTAAACCATCATTACTGTCACCAGAGTCACGGCTGAAAGCACGGAGTGGCTGCTTACCAATGGGTATAGGTAAGTGGTGGGTGAAAGCAAGGAATAACAGTCACCATCAGTGGTGTGTGTCGCCCAGGTTGACTCCATTGCTTGATATGAAAAGCGAGGTTGAGGGCACGGTACCTGTGGCTGACGTTGTTAAAAGTTTTTTTATATTTTTTTCAATTTCACCCGAAAGTGGTTACGGATATCGGCGGCGGCGGCGGAAGACAACTACCCCACTGTCATTGCCTTTGTTAACTGAAAACACATTTTGCTGCAGAAAACACATGAGAACGATTGTTTCCGTTCAGCAAACGGTGTACAGACAACCTTCTATATGTGTGAGAATGGTGTAGCGAACTTTTTTTTTTTTTTTTGCTCTGCACACTCTGGTGAAAATGTTATATGGCGGGACGCAGTGTATATGAGTAGCATTATGCGCACATGAAATTATACTGGTCGAGAGCGCTCAGCCTGCTGTTCCAGGTGCTGTTTTCTGCAGAAATATGTAAATACCGACAACGTAATAATACGAAACATGGTTGTATGGCGTGCTATATGTCCCTTGTGCTATAATTTAAGCATGAACGCTAACGTAACATACAAGGCGGGGCCAACAACAGTGTCGACAGCCACGTGCTCCGCTGCTGTAGACAACTCTGCGTCTACGTGGTCGTCGTGAAATTTATACAAATGCCGGTTCGAGCTGTACAAAAAAAAAATATACGGCAAGCTTGTGCGGAATGCGCTGAACAGTCGCAGCGAAAACTGGAAGAGTGGCCTTCAGCCTTTTTTAAACACTCTTTGGGTAAGTGCCGCAAGCACACCTGCAGGTACGCTATAAATCATAATTTTTGTGTAGTAGGGAGGCATTCACAATGTCATCCTTCGTCATTCTTCGGAGAAGTTTGGTATCCGCTACGCACTTGCTAGGAATTTCGTGCAATTTTTTGACGCTGTGGCCAACCACGATGAAGAATTATGCCTTCAAATCTTGGCTGATTCCCCATGCATAGTCGGTACGCACCACAGTCAGTAGGTGAACAAGAACAATAACAAGCTTTTGTAATCAGTTCGACCATTAGACGACGACCCACTCTTTACGCAATTATCGTTGGTTGACGCCTGGTTGTTCCTTTGCTGTTTTGAGATGCTTTATTAGACACATGACGCGATTCCTTTCCCGACATGAAGCCTGGCTTCAGTTTAATTTGTACGGAGTCTCAAGCACCAGTGTGGCTCAGTGGTAGAGTACTGGGCTGGTTCGAATACCATTGGGTCCTTCGTGGCATTATTTTCTTAGCTTTTTTTTTTACTTCGTGTGATAGTGGTTACGGACGCCGGCGGCGGCGGACAACTATATATGGCGCTGGCGACCATTGTTGTGATCTCATAACAGCTGTCGCTGTAAAACGCATGATTCACAATTTAGTGCAGGTACTTTGAGCGAAACGTTGAGTACTCCAGAAATGTGAACATATATACCGAAACCCGTTGCTCGACTAACAGTGCGTTCTACGGCAATGACTAACTTATCGATTTTTCAGGGCCATCGGCCAACGCTGTAACGTAATGAATGAGGCAGTATGCGCATGTTACCATAGGTGATCGCAATGCATGCCGGTACCGCGTGCGTTTTGCCATCACGTCGAGGAGGTTCGCAAACGAAGGAGAAAAAAAAAGTGTGTATATAGAAGTAAAAAGACTAGCAACAGTCTGTGTGTGGTTGCGTATAGTCATAAAGTGACAAAACGCGCGCGATGGCAGTACGCGTTTATGCAATCGCCGTGATACCTTGTCATAAGTGCTACCAGAAGTTTTTATATCCGGGACTATTGAGATCATTTCATATTGAACGCTTGCCGGGGACGCGCTAATATGTCCAACTGCACAAAACACGCCGTGTTTGCTCGGCACAAAGCATCCTTGAACACTCGAGAGTTGAGCACTCTCGTGGGGCAAGCGCTAATATGTCGTTTTCTCGTTCCTCGCTAACGTTGGTGGAAAACGATTACGCGCGCTTCTCCACGGGACGCTTGTTGCACGAAAAAGTGGCTGCGCGCTTGCTCAGAGAACGTGGTGGAGAATCTCCGACAGTTCTCGGCCACCTTGCTTCTCGCCAGATTTCCAGCGAGACACGGCGTTATTTTTCATTCGGCATGTCTTCGCGTGCCCACTCGCACAGGCTTCGTTCAAGGTCAGCGTGGCACTTGCCCCGAGGTTGTTATCTGTCGGGAGTTGGCGTCTTTTTATATCTTACTCCTCACACACTCTCTCTCACTATATTATCAGTGGGCCGGCGGGTGTTTCGAGCGTAGTTTTCCGCACCTCGGCTGCACGAGTGGTCTTCTTGCTGGAGCAACGATCCCGCCTGCCGGGAATCCAGCAGGAAAGACGCGCGTGTTTCAACACGTTACGCTCACACGCCGGTTCGCGCAGTTGTCTTCATCTGACGCGCGTGTCGCCTTGCGGAGGAGAGGGAAGTGAGCGGCCGCCGCTCCGACGTGCGGCGCCAATGAATGGCGAGCTTCGTGGCTGTTCGCTCGATTGGAGCTGCTGCCCGCACCGTGGAAGACCGCTTTGGATGCTCGTCGCACGTGCATCAGGGATCTCAGGTAATTAGACTGGACGGCTCGTTCACTGGCCGGCATGCGAACATACTGTGATAGCGAACGTACGCCGAGTGCAGTTTTCTCGTTTAAAAGGGACCGGAAAACGTCTGTTTGTATCGGTGCGTGACGCCGGTGTTGGGGAGCTTGCGAGGAGGGGAGCCAAACAAAGAGATTCCCTGTTTGTAAACGGCGGTCCCAAAGTTGACATGCCATATCGGCCCCGCGCACAGTAGAGCCCAGGTGGACCTTGGTTGCGGCTGCCGCCTGCGCCGCTTGTTTCCGGGGGCGCGCAAGAGTTTCGACAACGAGACTGGTCTTTGTCGGGGCCTTGGCGGAGACCAGTCAGCTTGTCAAAACTCTGGACCCTGACCGTGACGCATCTTGTTCGAAGAGCTCTTTGAGCGCGTTATTCCTTGATGTGAACCTCTCTTTACTCCCACATGTAGAAGCGCTTTTACCGCTATCTGTCTAGTGAGGGAATCTGCTTATTGTTTCGTGACAGCTGCGAGTCATGAAGGCAGTTTTCTTTCTTTTTGTGGTATTACTGTTACTTTTAGTTTGCAGATATTGGTCGTAAGCGCTCACAGTGTCAGTGGTTTTCATGTTCAGTATTTCGTTGTGTATCAGCGCACATGCTTTGCAATATTTTGTGTATTTTAGTCTTGTCTTGTATTTTACTTGTTCTTCTCATTAATTTCTGTGCGCCTCGTCTCGTTTTTATGCATGGTTTTTTGTGATGTACCTTTCTTTCGTAATGTGATAGACATTTAGATGCTACTATGCAGTACATCTCCGTCAGTGCCTATAATATTTGTTTATGTTTGGTCATTCTTTTCTCTGTAGTCCTCTTGCAAGTTGTTTGAAACCGCTGTAGGCAGTTTTGCGTTGGAGCTTGTGTAAACGCTCCTAACACCACGAAATCAGACTGTCTCATGAGTCGTCTCAATCAAACGCGCGACTCTCTCGTGAGTCTGAGTGAACCAAAAGTGATGTGCTTTGTGCGAGTCTGAACGAAAGTCCTGTTTCATTTCGCCGCACTGTGGTTACACCCAGCGCTGAACTATAGTTTAGTCCCTGTAGAGACGGTTCGCACGCTTCCTGTGAAAATGTTATGAGTATGGCACAGTTGGCGAATTCGACCGTTATTTTCGCTTATACAAAGACAACAGCTGCTGCCGATCTATATGTTATAGTAGACTTCGATAGCATGCAATCACCCTCAGAGGACCTTTTTCGCAGCCGCTTGTTTTTATTCTGCTACCAAAGGCGTTAGATACAAGAAAAGCCGGGTGCGGCGTAACGCTGAAATGAACGTTGCACAAGCAAGCTTCCAAATTTTCATGGCAACAAGCGTTGCCAGATATTTCTCACCACATAGTTGACTTCTCTTCGTTAGGCAAATTCGAAACTCGCGCCTCTGGTCCGCTACATTTGTATGAACAAAAGAAATTCATGACTGAACTTCTTCACTATTCAACAGCCGTACTTATGTGCGTAGTGTGTGACCTGCGCTTTATATAGCTGACTGCGTGAGACACTGTTTTGCACGATTTGTCGTGCATTGCTTCACCTCACTGGCCCTTAGGGACATACTGGTACACGTTGCCATTGCCGTATAATGTAACGTTCGCTCGCAGGGCAGGAACGGAACGCGTCTTCATTTTTGCCCGTCAAGCTCTAGCTCTAAGGATTGCATATAAACCGCTAAGGATACGTCGCGTGCATCAAGTAAGTTTAGGACGTAAGCTTTAATTAAATGGGCATTATAAACCAGCCGCTGTTATTCTTATACTTACTCATATGTCCGCACATTTAAATGCACGCTGTGCGTACATGCTTGCCGTACGACCGATAAGAGCCGTTTAACAGGTGCCTTCCGTACTTTCGCGCAAGTTCACGACGCGCGTATAGCTGGCACGACGCCAAGACTGAATGAACAGCCCGTTGGCCAACGCGCGCCGTTGCGTCAGTTATCGTTCATACTTAGCTAACTGCTCCTCGCGCATGCGTGCCTCTGTGTCGGTGTTCTTGGCAAGCTCGTAGGCCTTGTCTTTTTATTCGAACCCGTTTCCTTCATGCGATACGAGGAGGCTGTTCTTGACTACTGTCCAAAGCGCTGTTCCTGCCTTTCTTGGTCTATAGACCTTGTGATTGATTGATATGTGGGGTTTAACGTCCCAAAACCATCGTACTAGTATATAGACCATGTGTAAAATTGCTGCCATCTGTCGGCCGTCGTGTGCATACCGCCATGTTAGAGGCTCAGCGCGGTGCTGTACGCGCCATCCGCGTGTGTTTACTTATACGTAAAATTACGATGTATCGACGTGAGCCGCATATTGCCGCATAATCACAATGCCGACGTATTGCTGCGTCCCTGGATGCACACAGAGAAGAACTCGAAATGCTCAAATTAAAAAAAAAAGAAAGGTTAGCCGTACACATTGCTCTTATTTTTTCAAGCTGACGTTTCCAGAATGTGCTCCGGCTATACTGCTCCCTAAAGACGTCTTTGCATTCGTCTTTTGAAGCTAATAAGACGTGGGTAATTCCATGAAAGGTCGACACGGGTCCGAAAGTTCATATTTTAGATTTGATTGGTCCTATGCTGGTGTTGGAGCATTTTAATTCATCGCGTTGTCTGCAAATATGTACGGATTACCTTAGAGTGTGTCACTGTATTTATTGGTAATCTGGCATTAAAGATAAGCGAAGCGCACCAGAAATGCACCTTTACAGATAATTATTCCTCAAAGTATTTAATCTGCTTTTCCTCTGTAAGTATGGTCCCGTTCAACTGACTCAGAAGCTGAGGCCCATCTTTTTTTTTTTTTTTTAATCCTGACTTCTCATGCGTTTATCGCCTAAATGCATCCTCGAAAACCTAGAACTTCTACCCATAATATCGTCGCTGCAAATAAAATAATACAGCGTTCTTTTTTTTTTCACATTCTTTTTCCGTGATCTGCTAGGGTCTTTTTTTTTTGGGGGGGGGGGGGGGGGGAATATAAGAAAAAATGAAGAGGGGTTTATTGAAATATTGATTTTTAATAGGCTTGATTATCGACGAAATTGAGAGTTTGGGGTCATTTAAAAAATATCTTTGAGGTACAGCAACGGTATTGACAAACAGTATTGTAAACACTGTGTTTTAATAGATCACCAAGTTATGAAACAATAGCTGGTTTATTTTAGGTGGAAAAAAAAATCTTGAATACAGCAACTTTTAAAAAATGTCACCTGTTCATACATTTTTCAAAAACAGTTTGCTTCAGCCCACAGGCTTCAAACAATCCTGCTTCACTCATCATTACGCGTGCATATAAGAAAAAAGGTCATCTTCGTCACGTTAATATTCGTGTTTAAGTCGCCGTTAGCTTTCGAGAATCTGGAGGCGGAAATGTTGTAGGCCCGTGTACTCAGATTTGGGTGCACGTTAAAGAACCCCAGGTGGTCAAAATCTCCGGAGTCCTCCACTACGGCGTCTCTCATAATCAAATGGTGGTTTTGGGACGTTGAACCCCACAAATCAATCAACTTTCGAGAATGACAAGGGATGGGATTGGTGCTTCTGCACTGAATAAGTTTCATATTTTTCCCTCCAAAATTTCGCAGTTAATAAAAAAAAACTATGTTCGCTTTCGGGCTACTGGGTGGTATGTGCACAGCATTTAAAATAAACAAACAAATCTAAAATGTCAACTCTTGGACCCGTGTCGATTTCTCCTGGAATCACCCACGTGCAATAGCATTTGTATTCGTGTTTCCATAAATTGCTGCACGCGTAATCAAGGCAGATTTTGCAACGTTTTCGCTAGCAGCCGTTACCAAGTGAATGTGACTCGTACGCTTTACGCAGAAGCCACCTTCACGCAACGAGCTTTATCGCTGCTAATTGCTCGTGTCTTCATTTCGTTCAATGTGCCAAGAACTTCGAATGCTTGAAAAACGTGCGTAGTCATCGCACTAAAAGGCAGCTTGTCACACTCCAGAAGAGAACATGAAACAAATGGGCTTTAGCACCACGTCCCTCCCTTCTCAGAATGAAAGGATGACGCGCACTTGTTTCCAATTCATCGTGTACCGTTACCGAAACGTAATAGACTAAACAACACATGCAGCGAAATTCAGGCACGTTCAAATAGCTGTCATAAAGCACATTGTGTGAAGGCGGCTTCTGCTCAAAGCGTACGAGTCGCATTCACATGTTAAACGGCTGCTAGTGAAAACGTTGCAAAACTGTCTTGCTTCAGCATGCAGCGATTTGACGGAACAAGAGTACAAATACTATTGCACGTCTTACTTGCTAGGAAAGTAGAACGCAAACATGTGTTTTGGGAGCAGTAGCCGGAGTACATGCTTGAAACGTCATCAGCTAGAAAAAAAAAATAACAAGGGGCAAAGTTTACGACTTACCTTTTTTTCCTTCGGCATGTCGAGTTCCTCTCTGTGTGCTGCAAGAGACGCAGCAATACGTTGGCATTCCGATTATCAGCCAATACACGCCTCACGTCGATACTCCTTACGTATACGCAAGTAAACATATGTGGATTGTGCGTCCTGCGCCGCGCTGAGCCTCCAACATGGTGGTATGCACACGACGGCAGACAGATGGCAGCAATTTTGCATAAGGTCTATACCTTCATCGCTATTGCCAACTTCAGAATTCATAGCTCGATTCCTGCACTACAGTAATAGCGCCTGAGACGAATATTATGCAGAATAACAGGAGGAACGGTCGACGGTATAGAAGAGATGCTTGCAGATCTATATAGTGTAGTAATTATTGATTCTCAGACAGCAGGCTGCTATTTATATATGCGAGTAATTATCAAGCCTATGAGATCCTCATTTTCGCCCCGCCGCGGTGGTCTAGTGGCTAAGGTACTCGGCTGCTGACCCGTAGGTCGCGGGCCAAATCCCGGCTGCGGCGGCTGCATTTCCGATGGAGGCGGAAATGTTGTAGGCCCGTGTGCTCAGATTTGGGTGCACGTTAAAGAATC